GGGGAGGCCATTTTTACCCTCTCAGAGGCTTGAGGAAAGCCTCCGGAGCCTGGGGAGGGTGAAAACAACCCCCCCCCCCGGCCATGATGCAGGAGGCCGACTGGGCCACGCCCACCATGTTCACACCCACCCAACAACTGGGCAGAGAACTTGTTGCTAAATTTTTTGAAGCCCACCCCTGCACTGTGCAACTGTGATTTGTTAAAATACCACAGCTAACCTTCATGTTTACATTGCTAGAGTTAACCTGCTACGTGAAAACAAGAATCTAGAAAAAAAATTATCTGGAGTTCAATATAATTAAGATTTATACTTTTAAAAGAAGGGCCCATACAAGCCATTCTGGAAATGAATATAAAACCTAGAAGGTATTCCAACACAGTTTGATATGTATTTTGGGATTTATTCAGCAAAAGGGCTAATATAGAAACAAACTTTGTGCAGCTGTGCTCCATTAAGCATCTGCCTATTCTGGCATATGAACTAATTCCACTGCTGCTTGGCCTATGGCATGGGGACTATAAAAATGTATGAAAATGCACCAAATGCATTTTAACAATTTCATACAAATATGTACACCTGGATGTTGGATGCATCATCCCCACCCACCAATTTGTCTCTTTAATGGTGCAGAATAGAGAAGGGAATCACCTCCTGTCATACTTTCCTCTCAGTTCTGCTACTTCTGTGTTAAAGCTGGGAATAACCAAAGCCTTTGAGGCTCTGCATGTAAATTATCTGCAGGATTGTTTTCAGAGGCTCTTGAAATTCTTGCCCTTTTTACCCTGAGATACACAGACAACATTAATTCTTGCCTGTTGTTCAAGTCTCCCCCAGATTTTGTCCACTTTTAATCCCCCCTTTTTTTGCTAGTTTCTTTAACATTTGCTGATGTTTATTAAGTAAAGATCAAGCTATACTTTTTTTTCCCAGCTGAACTGAATGGTTGTGTGTGCCTGCTTTGATCTGGATAGGGAGAGTAACCCTGGGTGTATGCTGGGTGCCAACTAAATTGGAAATTGCCCATCTTAATTTTCCAACATTGGAAAAGAATAAAACAAGTTGGTTACTTCTAAAGTAGATGCTGATGTTTGGGCTGGAGAATGAGAGAATCTTTTTAAAGCAAATGTTTTTAAAGCAAAGAAGACAGAAATATCACCAATGTTCACAGCAGTTTTTATGGATAGGCAATTCTATGCAGTCATTATTTAAAGAAATGTCTCGATTATTACATTATAATAACTGAGTCTCTATTATATTCTTGAAAGCAGCATTCACCTGCAATATAGGGAAATGACTAGTGTGTTTT